TAAATAGATAATTTATATATATATATTATATATATTTCAATCCATAGGTAAAACAGAAATCTTGGAGCTATGTACACAGAAGAGCCAACACCATTAAGCATATATATAGAGATATATACATACATACAAGGAAAAAAAGATAAAAAACTGGAATACACATCAATAAAACTCTTTAAGCCTTACTCCTACAAAACACAAAAACTGACGTGGCAACTAGCAAAAAACCTTGTAAAAACTAATACATCATAAAATACTTTGTACTATGGCATAAAATATCAAATGACACTTCTCTGCTATGAGGTCTCTCAGTGTACTTGGTTGGCAATGGCATATAAAAAATCATCTCTTTGAATACGAAATGTGATGCTTCCACAGGTGTCCTTTTTATATTGCATAGGCAATTGTGTTTGTGAAGAAGAAAAAAAAGTCTTGAATACAAATGAAAGACAGGTAGTCACTGAAATATACATGGTGTCATGCCACCACCCTATTCTCTCGTCCCGTCTTGTACAAAAAGGACCTTAATAGTTGAGGTAGACTTTTCACTACCTAAAAGGGCAATAACAAATGTTGACGGCCAATACTAAACATAAAAAAACAGAAACCAAACAATTTTTTTTCAAGTCAATCTTTTTTTCTCATTTTGTTAATGTTCACTAAAGCTATATATATTAAAAGAAGTGATTTAAAATGAATTCAGGCTTTAAGACTGGGTCGGCAAAATCCTCAGAAAATATGCATGTGCCCAGGTCTTCCTATGTACAAAGGGAAATGAGACCATTTCCTAGGTCGTTACTTCTATTTCTACAAATCTAATTGTGAGGAACAGCACTGAACGTGTTTCCTCAAATCAACATTTGTGCAACCAAAGGCCATTTCCTCTTCTTACATTTTGATATCTCTTGAAAGTGTATCTCATCTCACTGTTCTTTAAAAACGGGGAGGGGGAATGGGAAAAAAGTTTTGCAGTCACACCTCTTTCTTTTTTTTAAATTTTATGGCAACAATAGCACCAGAAGTGAAGAGAGCTTTTTTGCTTTTATGGAATATATTAATAAAGTCTGTACATTCTCCATAAATGATACACTATCTAACTCTAAGCAATCAGAGATCATTGTTATAAAATCTATTTAAAGCACTCATTTGGTAGT